CTCTCTCTCCCCTCTCTCACTCTCTCTTTAAAAAAAAAAAAGAAACGAATGGAAGTAGTAGTCACTAAGTTCAAACTATAATATCTCTCCTTATTCATGGCAGGTACATTCTAATATCTCCAGTGGATCCCCTAAAACCAGGACTAGCACCAAGCACTTATAACACTCTGCTTTTTTTCTATCCATGTACATTGATGATTTGATGACAAATTATGAATTGGGCACAGTAAGAGATTAACAATAACTAATAAGAACAATTATAGCAACTTGCTGTAATAAAAGACATGTGAATATGGTCTCTCTGCCTCTTGAAAAAGAGTTAAGACAGATATTAACATGTTTGGACTGTGGCTGGTCATAGGTAGCTGAAAGTGCCTGTAAAAAGGGACTACTGAAGTAGTTGCCTCCAGAGAACAAAATGCGAACAGAGTGGTAAGCAGGAACCCTAAACTTGTGTTGGTATTGTTTTCATTTCTTATCCTGTAGTCGATACATGGGGGTTTGTAATTTTTTTCTTTACCCATGTGTGTATATGTTTAAAGGTTATTTTTCTATTTTTGCAACATTAGAGATTAAACCCAGGGCCTTGCACATGCTAGGCAAGCACTCTATCACTGAGCTACATCTTCAGCTCTGTGTATACATTAAATAATTTACAATAACTTTTTTTTACAAAAGAAAATGAAAAAGGCAACTATTCATTCTGCAAACACGAAGGACCCAGTACTGTGCCAGGTATTGGAATATAGTGGTGAAGACGGCACTCTGTACCTGTCCTCACAGACACTCTGAGCTAGCAGAGAAGATGAAGAAGATGTTTCATGTCAGGAAGCACAGGCACTGTGAAAGCATGGGATAAGGGAACCTGTGTCATTCAGGGGACCTAGGAAAGCTTCCAAGATAAAAATGCCCTTTTAGCTGAGACTAAAGAATGAAAAGTTGAGGTCATCAGGAAAGAACAGCCAGACTGACCTTAGTCAGAATTCCCATATCTAAAACTAAACACTGGAGCAAGCAAGGGAGAAAGACCCAAGGAGAGCAGCCAGATTGATATGGGATCTGCTATGCGTTACACACTGTGGTTTTGATCTGATTGAGCACCTTACGTGGAAATGTGCTGCTACATGCTGGCCAGTACCAGGAGGGGTGAGGAGGAGAGTGGAGGCAGCAGAGTTTTCTAAAACCTTCCAGTGACTTCACACTTCAAGAGCAGAATTAGCCCCATGTTCTATCCTAACACAGAAGTAACTTCAGCAATTGAGGGCAGGAAGACAGAGCGTGCATGAGCCAGCTAAGGCTTCACCTCCATTCCTATGAAAGAATGACTTGGGCAGATTTCCACTTTGTAGGTATTTTACTATTTGTCATAGGCAAGTTACGCAACTCAGTTAGTGATTAAATTACCAGCATAGCTACTATTTGAGAAGGGAAGGTTCAAGGTTGTTTCTTGCTTCTGCACTTTGGTTCAAATAGAATTGGATTAATTATTTCTCAATCTCCATGTTTAGAAGATGTAAACACAAGAATTATGTTCAGTCTCCAATAGTGTAAAAGGCAGCATATCAAGCTCATTTGTCAACTACAAGGACCTGTGTCTAACCTTGGTCCCATGTTTAGATTTATAAAGTGTGAGATCATTGTCGGTTTCATTTATCTCTGTTATTAAATTTACTGGGCCTCATTCAATGACATTATATCTTCTTATCTAATTCAAATAAATGTCTTACTCATGGCTTGAATGTGGATGGCAAAATCTCATTGTTAACTCAGTAATTGAGATAATCTCATTGTTTTGCTTTCTTAATAGAATCTTGAATTGATTGCTCATGACTGGAATTCCATTTGGCTTCACCAAACTTTCCTTAAAACTGCTATTTTTTGACCAATCTCTGTGTCCCAGTGTTTGCATAAGGATGGAACATTCTTGCCCTATTCTTTATTCTTCACTAAACCCTATTTTTAGTCTGTTTATCTTATCAACAGCATAAAAGTAATCACTTGCATTTAACATTTGTCTTTATTAAGTATGATTAAATGTACTGGTGATATAGTAGCTAAATACACAGGTTTTGGAATAAATCCTAGGTTTGAATCCAAGTCCTGTGACCCTATGGTGACTTAACCTTAACTTCTTCATCAGTAAAATAGGGTAGTAATAGTTACACCATAGGGTGTTATGAGGTTGAATGGAGATTGTTTTCAATCTCAGTTGAGATTGGGTGGATCATAGGAACCATTCCATTTTAGCCAAAGAAAGTACTATACCCTGTATTCATCTTGATTAGAAATAATGTTTTATCAGTTAACTTTTGTGCATGGCGAGAGAAGGGGATTCAGTTTCATTTTGTTGCATATGGATTTCCAGTTTTCCCAGCACCATTTGTTGAAGATGCTATCCTTCCTCCATTGCATGCTTTTAGC